TCCATCCATCCATCCATCCATCCATCCATCCATCCATCCACACACACACACACACACACACACACACAGTATGGGCCTTTTCCCACTTGTAACCAACTACAGCAGAAACATGTCCTGGCAGCCTATTTTATGTTATTGAGATGTTATCTTTATCTGATCCCCATCCCTTAAGTGAGACAGCCTCAAGTTGTCTTTAGCTGCACACATTTCAAAGTAGTGCTTCCATCTAATTCTGATACCATCCAAGTCCTGCCTCAAGGTGTACAAAGTCTGTTAGGCTCATCATCCATTACTTTGGGGGAGAGTTGGATGACTGTCGTGGTTTGAAACAGAGGCAGGAAAGGTTCAGCAATGGGACAGCATATTTCATGCTGGTAAAGATTTCTGCTGAACCAAGGATGGGTGGATAACATTTTAGCTCAGCAGTGGGGAAAGGCCCTCAGTCATAGAAACAGATGAGATGTGGAAGTGTTAGCACCAACCAGAGCATCTATTCCTAGAACTAACAGTTACTGGGAGTATTTAAGGGTGTTTTAACTATTTAAAATATTTCAAAAATCACATCCTGGGATCCTTCCAGAAACTAAAACAATTAAGTAAGTTTTTCAAGGAAAATTAATCAATATTGATTATACATTTGATGGTCCAGAAGTGTGTTGATGATAGCAAATTCATAAGTGTTTTTGGGATGGGATATCTTTTGCAGCCAAGGACCACATTTTCAGCTACAAAAATCAGATGCAAGGTCTGCAAGGACCATGGACAATAATATGATGCTGTCCTGATGAAGGTTTGCCCCCCCCCCCCTTTTTTTCAGTTTGAGCAAGTTTCAGGTCCAGAATTGGAACATATTTATTTTGTATCTGAAACATGAAAATGAAACAGGAACATGAATGGTTTTGCCATCAAATTTTAGCAACATAGTGAGCAATGGGGCCAAAAGCATGGAGGTTCAGGAGCTCCATGTTATTCATTGATTCCCCCACCCCCCACTACTATTTTAAAAGGAACTTTAAGGCAAAGAATAATGTGAGCTGTCACATCTGAATTCATATCTGCCAGCCTTTTTCCCAGACAATGTTTACTGTAGTAAGCTGTAAAAAGACCGGGTTGTGGGGAGAGATTTCAGCACAATGGTTCTGAGTCTCCCTCCCTGCCTATAATGTCCTCCTAGGCACTATTTGGTAGAAAGCAAAAAATGCCAAGAATAATTTTAGCCAATGTGATGATCAGCTCCGTCCAGAGTTATTCTGAATGTTTCTATATGATATTATACCTTAGGATAGGATGCGACATCCCTCCGGGGTATCAGCTTTTTGTTTTCATCCAGGAAATTGTATTTACAGGGGCAGTTGGTCCTGTGTAGAAAACAAAATCCAACACTCAGTATCTAAAGAAAACTTAAAAATAAGTGGCTGTTCAAAATAAGAAAGGCTTGGAATTGTCCAAAAACAATTTCATTTAGACTCGCGGGACACAATAAAAAAGTCACTCACTCCAAAGGTTAACTCCTGCAAAATTCATTTCCCTCTTTTCACAGCAAACAACCAAGCTGCTTTCCTCTGAATAACATAATATCCCAAGAGATTTGTAAAGAAATGTAGCTTTTGGAGATGTGTTTGCCAAACATGAAAGCGCTTTTCAAGTCTTTAGAAAACATAAAGCTAAAATATGCTGCAGGTGCAGGAACCTTTATTTATTTATTTGAAGAAAACTGAAGACAATGAAGTACATTTAAGCATGCAGGTTACATTCAACAATTCTTATTCCCTACTAAGAAATACTTAGGACTGCTATGTTGAAACATTTCATTTCCTTATGTGGGGCCCATTTTATACTATGCAACACCTGTAAAGATTATCTGTGTGAACTGAAATCCAATTCATACATTTCAAGATGTGGAAATCTTTTCTCACACAAGCAGTATCTGCATCAGAAGTATAATACAGAAGGACTTATACAAAGTGATGGCTCTTGATTAGAACTGTGTTCCAGTTCTTTGCTTCATGAAAAAGGAACAACTGCAGTCTTACAGAACCTTCCCCTCTAATGTCACACACTCACAGATAAACTATTCACACAAGACTGAATCTACCAAAATAGAAACAGAAAGTAGGAATGAGCTCCTTGAAGATACAGCTGTGTGTTATGGCCTTCCCCGTTTCTCTACTCTCCTCAGATGTGGATGGGAACATTGTCCCATTGTCAACATGGAAGTAAGATTCAAATTGGCTTTTTATTCAGATACCATCTTGCCTTTTTGCCCAGTAACAACATACCTTGGTTTGAGATACCATATATGCCATGAACCACATTCAGCAGTGCTGCAAAATAAAACCTAGTTCCATTCTTCTATTTCTTATTACAGCACTGTGGTGTAATGGATGAGTTGTTGAACTAGCACCAGGATACCTAAATTCAAGTCCACCCTTAACGGCAGAAACTCACTGGGTGACTTTGGGCCAATCTCTGCCCAATGTATTTCACAGGATTATCATGGGAGAAAACTGAAGAGAGAATATTGTTTATAGACAGACAGACAGATATCCTGATTTTATTCAAATGATGAATTGCTCAGCATCCAAATAAGTCTGAAATATAAAGAATGGTAAACTATAAAATAAAATACCTGCAAAGCTAGTAAGAAAAGGGCATATCCAGTTTCTTCCTTGTACTCTGCCCCTTATGTTGCTATGAGGGAAAAAAAATGTACCACAAATAACAATGGAAATTAAGCAATGCTGTGCACGTATTTGGATGGTTGTTAAATTTACTTGATAAATAGGAAACTCTTTTATCTCTCTATTTAAATATCATGCGGTAGCTGATATGGAGGATTCTACCACAGGACAATCTATTTCATTTGCAAACTAACCTCCTTTAATCCTCAGATCAATTTGCATTCCTTGCTGGCTGATCACACAGTCATTTGCATCTCAATCATGTCCCAAACTGCAGTGTAGTTTGTGTTCTGACTCACTGTTTTCAGGGATTCCAAAAAAGAGACTTGGGTAGGTATGGCAGTGGAGCACTGTTGAAAGGACCAATTCTGTCCTTACTTTTGCCCTTTCCGTAGCTAAATATTCAGAATACTGCCCAATAAATGCCTGCTTATCTACTTCCTACTGGCTTCCCATCTGCCACAGAGATTCCTCTGCACTGTGAAGTAACAAACATCTCTTCTTTCTTCAAAAGAAAAAAAAAGGGGGGGGGGAGGCCATTTATTCACTATTTTTGTACAGTATGGCACAATCCTGATTGATTTCTGCAGTGTTTTATCCCAGTAAATCCTAATGGTTTAGCCTGCCTTTCTGGGTCAAATGGAGTTGAAGGATGAGGGCATGGCAGGTAGTTTGTCTAATTGGTAAAGATATACTGCCTGCAAACACAGGGTGCCCATGTGCATGAGCTCTATTCACAATGGAAGTGAAATCTCCCTGGAAAAACTTCTTCCAAGAGGGCTGACAAAGCAGAGGGAAGTAGGTTTGGGGGAATTTACGGTGGGTCACCTATGGAATGCAGCCCATGAGGTGGGACTGGATGTCTCCAGCTGTCGAAATAGCATATTTCCTACAGATGGAAGACCTGTAGGTCTGCAGTTGGGTGTACACTTATTGATTATTTTTATCCTTCATCGGATCACCGAGAAATGTATAAATGTGAGAAAGAAAGTTTATTGTATAGTTATTGATTCTGAGGAGTCATAAGATAGTGAACAGGCCTAAATTATAGAATGTTTTGCATAAGCACAGAGTTGAAAGGTGTGTATAAGAATGCTTAGCAAATGGCCAACATTGTGCACCGAGTAAGATAATTAGATGTGATGTTTTCATGGTTGTTTAATGGATTTAGGGATAACCATATAAAGAAAGTTTGTGAGAACCACAGCTGTGTGTGCATTAGGGATGTGAATGTGCTTGTGCATTTGTATGCAAATGATGCTACATTGATGACTGATAACCCAAAGGTTTTGCAGCAAATGTTATATAGACTGCATGATGCAACAAGAAGTATAGATCTGAAAATAATTGCATCAGAGTCACAGTGACTATGTTTGGCAGAGAACATGGAGTGAATGAATGCAACTTATACATAAGTAGTAAAAACCAAAAGCAAGGAGATGAATTTGTGTATCTTAATAGAATATTTTTTGAAGATGGGAAAATGGATGGAGAAATTTTAATATATGCAAGTGCTGGTAGAAAGAATGTTTTCTCATGCTAGGAAGAAATGCGTGTCAAAAGATGTGGACATGGCTGTGTACAAGAGCATGCTTCTGTCCATTTTGTTATATGGAGATGTGAGTTGGGTATGACAGGAAAAATATTAAAAAGATGAATGCAATGGGGATGGATTACTGTACTTAAAAAGCTATGAGGTAAAACAATAAGAGAGGGTCAAGAATGAATGCATGGTTAACAAATGTGGCCAGCAGAAAAGTAGTACAGTATATTGAGGTGGCTTGGTCATATAAAGAGAATGAATGAGGATGGAATTGCAAAACAAACATATTTATTTATTTATTTGTTTATTTGTTTGTTTGTTTGTATTTCGAATTTAGACACTGCCCATCTCATGAGGTATATGCATGAAGGGTGAATGGACCAATTGGAAGGGGAAGATGAAGAAATTTTGGTTCAGTGGAGTTGATTAGATCCTTAAAAAAAAAGAAGTAAAAAATTTAAAGTACAAAATGCAGATTATGATGTACTGATGGTTTACAAGGATGGTTTACAAGGACAAAATGGTATGGAGACATATAGTGAATGGTATTGACATAAACTATTTTTAGTTGCTGTATGCTTCCTTTCCTGTTTCTTATCTAGTGCCTTCAAATTCTTTGGCTTACTATTTTTTACTCCTCTTCTGTGCATTGCATAATATTGCTTACTCCAAATGGTATATGCCACTGCAGCAAACAACCAAGTCATGTTGCCTCGGAAACATGAATCTCCCTGTCATTTTATTCAATAAATAACATTTTTTCAGGACAACGGGTATATGAATGTGTGTGTGCACACACAAATGATCCATCTTCTTTTTTATGAAATGAATACGAATGATTCATAGCAATGATCTATGTTTGTTCTGAAGAACCTGATTCAGATGGTAATGCAAGAGCCATCTGTTTAAGCTGAGATGACAGCGGATGGTGTATAATGCAGGTTTTAGAAGTTGTATCAAGAGTAAAGCCTTTGCAGGAATGAACATGTGCGTGCAAGAGAGAGGGAAAAATATAGTTGATGTATTACACTGGAAGGAAGAAAAGACAACGAACATAGCAGTGTTCAGAGAAGTCTTTTTTGAGGAACAGAGGGTTTGGCAGTTTTCCGCGAAACAAAACAATGTTGCAAGCTTGAAATTATGAGTGCTGTCACACTGGAGTTTCATGGACAATGTAAAATCTAAAATCAGAAAAGGCAAGCTATCGGCTATCCCGGCAAGGAAAAAGAAGGGGAAAACAGAGATAGAATATTGCAGGGGTTAGCAAACAGGGACCTGGTAGGTTTGAATACGTGCTACGTTTTCATGACTGAAGAAATATATTCCTACGTGTGCTGAAAAATTAAATGCAATTAAAAGAAAGAGCGCAGAAAGAAACCTTGAAATACAGTCGTTGAAGTAGCCAGTAGATTTTAGAACTGTGGCCTAGCTGAGTGGTTTAAGTTTTGCTGAAACGAATTAACAGTCAAAATTAATAAGATACCAAGGTTCAACATCATTCTTAGAGTATGTGCGTTTTCCTATAAGACAAATGGCAGTAAAGGTGATGCCAGTAGAGAGAAAAGGATTGAGGGTTACAAAGAGGAAACCCTTAAAACGTTTTATTCAGAAGAACTGCACAAATGTTGCCTTTAGTGAATTGTAAAATTCTGGACAAAGAATCACAAATATGTAGTAACTGAAGCACAGTTAAATGTAGTACAAACAGTCTCACATCTTCACAGAATTTTCCACAATTGAGAACAAGAAAAAAAATCCTGATATATATACCTCTGAAACTCTTTGAGCATACAGCATCTCCAAACATTGTAATTTAAACATTTCCTCACCCATGCCCCCCCACCCCCACTCCAGTCATGATAGGTAGGTCAGTCTGTATTTGAGAAACAGTATTCTCTTGACTAAGATTCAGAACAATTTCCTATTCAACTCTTTCAGTAACAGTTTTAAATGTCTCTTTAGCTGCTGACGTGCTTGTTCTATGAGGAAGGTCAGCAATGGAAAAACCTGATGTTTTAGTTCATGCAGTCTACCATAGCAAGCAACGGTTGCTTCTGCTGCTGTTTTAATTACAATTCCAAACCTGGTAATATATCAGATTAGTTGACTGGCTTCTTCCGTAAAGAGGAAATAACTCATTTGGGGGGTTAAAATATAACATGTACATTCTCTCACAGTGCAAGAGGAGTTGCTGGGTATATATTGTGATGTTTTCTCAGATTACATTTTGTATCGGAGCAGGTCCATTTCTTATAAGAGAGTCTGTTACCAAACTAATGTTTTTCTTGGCAGAAGAATTTTTTGTTCTCTGAATAAAACCAGGGCCAGAAATCTTTATTACCGGATGGGTAAATGGAGGGAAACCAAGATGTTAATCTTTCCAAGAGTTATTTTTCCAGCTATTCTTTAACTATTAAGTGGCCATATATTCTTAAATAAAACTAATGAATCTTGTCTTTTTATTCATGCTGACACCAAAAAGCTTCATAATTTTTGAATAGAGACCATTATAAATGAGAAATGATTTAGTTTATTAGATAGCAGTCCTATGCACATTGACCTGGAAGTAAGCCCCACTGTTATTTCAAACTTTGTATGCTGCCCAGAATCACTGTTGTGAGATGGGCAACCATATAAATTTTTAAAATAAATAAATAAAACCCAGTTGGGTTTTACCTATTTTTATTTATTCATTAGATTTATATTCCACAATTCTCCAGAACTCTAGGCAACATTCATTTACTTACTGATTTATTTACTGCATTTATATCCCACCTTTTCTCTGAGAGTACAAGTTGGCCTATATAGGTTTCTTCCCTAATTTTAGTCCTACAATAGCCCTGTGAGATGGATTGGGCTGTGCGTGGCCAAGCTACCTTGGATTCTCCATAACTGAATGGAGACTTGACCCTAGATCTCCACGGTCCAAGATTAAACTGACCATCACTACCCCACTCTAGATCTCTGTAGATTGGCTTCTAAGCAAATCTTCAGAATTCTCCCATTGCAGAAGCAGCCCTTCAGAAGTGTCTTTCTTCACAAACAACAAAACACAAAGCTTACCTGGTACTTCTTGCAGCCATTTCATCCCTCATCTTTTTAATGTCACTCTTACACTTTTCAATTTCCACTACTTTCAGTCCTTCCACTGTCAACAAAGTAAAACAACAGGGGGGTTACCATGGAGAAGCCCGAAGGATCTCATTGCAGTAATTGAGCAGAATTTCAAAAGCCACCGAACAGCATGCTGGTGATTCAGCAGCCCTTCAGTCTGAAACCTATTCCTCTACAGGCAGGTACTGCTAATAGAACCAATCATTCAAAAGAATACGACATTAAAAGTAACATTAAAAGTAGCAGAAAAGCAGCTACATCACTATTGTAAGCCACAGCAGCAACATCCGGCCATTCTTCAGCACCTCCAGACCATCTCATAGAATAGGAATAGGCAAAAGCATCAAGCAGTGATGTGGCAGTGTTATATTAATACAAAGCACTATATAGAGACAAACTTGTTTTGTTGGGTTTCCATCTAGCATCCTGTTAAATGAAAAAAGATGCCATGATAGCTCATTATATAGAAACACCAGCTGTGAGACTAAGCCTTGGACCAACTTTTTCCCAGCCTGGTGTCCTCCTTACTAGTATATTAGGAGTTGCAATCTCAAGGCATCTGGAGGACACTAGACTGGGGAAGGCTGCTGTAGATAGAAGACAACTCCAACTGGGTTCTTTTAAGCAGTGGAGAAAGTTTGATCTGCTGCTTCAGCCTTTCTGAAAAGAATGCTATCAGATATATTGGACTATAAGTCCTGTCATTTCCAGCCATCCCAGTAACTGACTAAATTGGCCAAGAATGGAGCAATAGCCCAACATATATAAAGGATGGGTGCCTGATTGGGAAAGGCTCTAGTATATGTTCAGATTGTACAGGCATCAAATAAAACAATGAAAATGCATCCCCCTCTACTTTCAACAACTTTGCTCATTGAAAGAAATATAAGTAATCCTTTCCCAATGAGAGATATGAAAGTGTTGAAAGGAGAAGGAGAAGGGGAAGCAATGGTAGCATAGGGACAAGATGGTATGGACTGTCCTTCAACATGTGATGATTGATAGCAGTAATGATTGCATGGAAAACCTCTGGTCTAAATGTACTAAATAGTGTACGCTGCTCATAACACCACTTAGATGAACAAAGGATATAAATCAAGTTATCCTTGGTACATTCTTGGTAAGAATCACTTTATGAGGCAGTTTTCCTGCAATGATCCTCCCACACGAACTTGCTGGAACTACCTCTACACTGGCATTATAATGTTTATGAACTGCTCAGCAATAAATTCTCAGCTTGACTGGGACATTCATCACACCAACATTGCATGTTTCCTGCTGGGCAGCACCAGCAACAAATCTCTAAAAACAACTGGAACAATCTATATTTTTAGTAGTTTCCAAATATTACAATCTCTACAGGGTCGCATGTCCTCTTCTCCCTTACCAATGGCCACTCATGCGTCTCATACACATATATGAGCTAGAGACCTCAGGTTCTCACTTGAGAATGAACAGGATGTGAACATGCATTGAACTAAGACTCACCAGCAGTGATTTGAACACATTTGTGTTCCACTTTCACTACATGGGAATATTGGTGGCTCCAAATTTCATTTATGCAAAAGCATACACTGAAAACTCATAAAGAGAAACATTTAACTGAACTCTTTGAAGCTATTTAAGAAAGAAAGTTTCAGTCCTTAGGGCTCACTATATATGTCTTTTTCAATAATAGCTTTAATGCAACATTTAGTCATTCCTGAATTCCATTTCATAGTATTCTATTTTTCTGTCACCAAATATATGAAGTCGACTCTTTTTAAAAGGAAAAATCCTCCCATCAGAACCTTGTTTTTCACTTAATTCTGATAAAGGTTTTAGTTTTTACAAGGCGGCATTTGCAGAAAAAAAACTTTAAAAGATTATACGTAGATTGTAGAAGTGATAAAAAAACCCCAATTACTCAAATTTCTCATTTTAAAGTGTTATAATAGTTCACTTTCTTATAGCACATAATCAATCACAAAATGTTCATTATATAAGGGTCTTAACAAAGGAGGCTATTAGATACATGTGATTTTGTTGTACCCTTTCTTTCTATAGCTTTAAACTTATACTTTCCACCCCACCCCCAAAGAACTTAAATATGTCTAGTTTTGCACTTCTAGGATTCCTGGAAAAGGTTTTAGAATACCGCAGTTTGCCACTGGACTTAGAGAGTACTCAGAACACCTGTGAACATGGCCTTCATCCTGCTTTTCAGAGAAGGAACCACAACTGAAGGACTTTGTCTAGACCTGCAGCTTGGCTGAGAGTCTTCCCAGGTTATTTAGGAACTATATATGCTTACTGTATGGGATTGAAGATTTTATACCACCTTGCTGTACAATGATTTTAAACAGATAATGTAGGATGAGAAACAATAATTTTAGACTTGAAAGACATTTTTTCCCTTCTCCTTCTCTGATGCTATACTATACTCTGCCAAGAAGAAGGCACAAGGTATGCTCCGAAAAAGATTAAGATGTGACACTGATACAAATTCATTCTAGGCTTCAGCTTGTTAGAAAAAAAGAACTCACATTCCACTCTCTTCTCCAGCATTGCCAGTTGATTAAATACTTCAGTTTTCAGTTCATCAATTTTAAATACCCTGGAGAGGAAACAACAACAGCCCTGAACTTAAGTAAGAAGATATGCATGAAAAACATAACGTCTGTTGATGGGAAAAGAATAAATATTAAAAGTCAATATTTGGATGCATTGAAAGACACTTTGAAAATGAGCAACTGAAGGTATCCATTTACAATCTATTTCCCAGCTAAAGACCTGCTGCAGGTACGAGGATCTTACATGCAACTTATGGATTTTCTCCTCTCTACAGAGGTTCCCCATTTCATTCAGATTAGAAGGAAAGATAGTGCAAGATAGTACATATGGGGCTACCTCACTTAATGACATATAAAAAAACCTCTTCTCTGAAATAAATGGAGGAATCAGTATACATGTATACAGTATACATTAGAAGTGCTTTATTTGCTAGATGTACATATAAACTTATACAGTTTTACACTTCTAGAATGTGCAACTGCTCATCCATGTTTATTCAAATATAATAATCTGGTCATGAGTCTGGCTAGTTATAATTTTATTAAACGTGATTCAAGTTAAATGCACTATGTCTCTAAAGCTTCATCTATGATGAAGATAATTCTCTTTTCTTTTTCAAGATGAAGAAAGCATACACAATGCAACAGGGGAATGTTTCCTTAGCAGCAAATCCCTCTGAGTTTAAAGTGGCTTCATTTCAAGCTCGGGTGCATATTTCTGTAGCCTTCAATGAATTAATCTTGCTGATTTTCCCGCTCTAGACTAGACTGTTTGAGAACTGCAAGGAAAGATAAGAAGGAAGGATATACAGCAGGGCTCTTCAGCATAGCACCATTTCTACTCCTAACTCTCCAAAGCATTTTGAAACCAATCCTAGGGTAGTTTTCAGTCTTGCTAGCTTCTGAATACCAAGTACATGCCGGGAACAATATGAGCCAGTAGGCCAATGTAAAAATTGCCATTCAGTCAATGCTCTCTCTTCCAAGCTATGGCAGCTCGTACAGTAAGAAAACTCCCCTCATTTCTGTTCCACCTAGAAAGGGAAAATATTAAACTGCTAGCCCTCCCCACTATGTTTCCAATACATGCTGTATTAATTTATATCCCACTTGTTATAGACAAGCTCAAGGTGGCATACATCATACTGTCTCCTCCTATTTTTCCCTACAACAACAGCCCTGTGAGATTGGTTAGGCTGAGGGTGACTGGCTCAGTGTCATCCAGTAAGCTTCTGTGGCTGAGGATGGACAAGAACCTGGGTCTCCCCATTTCTAGTCCTGCACCTTTACTACTACACCATACTGGCTTTTGTTGTTTGATTCAAAAGATCTGAGTGGTTGGTTGCCTGGCTCTCCAAATGCCTCCTTTTTTGCATATGACAGAAGGCTAAGATGATGGCAGTGTAGTGCCATGGTAGTGTAGGGTCTCTAAGTGTATGGGTGGGTGGGGGCTCCCTGAAACCCAGAAGGTGGCAGGTGAGTGAGATGAGGCAAATATCCAGGGACAGTGGCTGGTGTGGGTCTTCCGGGCTGTGTGGCCGTGTTCTGGAAGTTTTGTTTCCTA